ATGTTGAGCCTTCAGATACTCCTGAACAGAATGGATGACCTCGTCATCACTCTGAAAATGGCGACCACGCAACTGTGAAGATGCCTCTGTCACCTGTGCAGTATAGATGGGCACAAAATATGTACCGTGAAAGCAACAGCAGGCCAGCTTTTCCTTTCTTTTTGTCTTTGATTGCTTTAAACATTTGAGTTTTTGTGGAGGGTTTTACAGCACACAGTTATGGCCAAAAATTGAGATATGTCCCTTTTTCCCAGGTGAGGAAGTACCCTCGTATATGGTAGACACACAGCTTGTCCCGGGTGCGACCTGGTCTTGTCAGTTCCATGCTGGCATTGGTTACACCCTGAAGAACTAACACTATTTATATATATCATCTGAGGACTGGCCTACTAAAAGACTACAACCATGTTCTGAAAAAAGTTGTTAAATTCTGACCATGAGGTCTCTACTGTCCCATACATATTGGACATTTTCCGCAGTAGAAAATCTGTTGTGTGTTCGGCGTGTTATCCAGAGTAATGGAGACTTAGGTTTTAGTTGTAGATGGTCCATTCATCCATCCATCTTCCTTTATTTATCTAGAGTCAGGTCACGATGGAAGCAGACTAAGCAGGGCATTCCAGACCTCCGTCTCCCCAGAAATGTTTTCCAGTTCTTCCTGAGGGATCCCAAGGTGTTGTCAGGCCAGATGACATCTATAATCCCTCCTGTGAGTTCTGAGTCTACTCTGGAACTCCCCTCAAAGGGATTGTGCCCAGGCAGTACCAGATTTGGATGCCCGAAACACCTGAACTGGCTTCTTTCAATTCAAAGGAGCAGCAACTCTACTTCTAGTGTGTCCACCATCTGCAGGCCAAAGTGGGTACGTGCTGACCTCTTCCATTGCAGGCTGGTTCTGGGTTTGTGGAAAGTCCATCCATCCATTATCTATACACCCCTTAATCCTCACTAGGGTCTTGGGGGGCTGGAGTCTATCCCAGCTGACTCAGGGTGAAGGCAGGTTCACCTGGACATGTAACCAGTCTATCACAGGGCTACACTTAGAGACAGACAACCAAGCACACTCACATTCAACATGTTTTTGGACCTTGTGGAAGGAAGCTGGAGAACCCGGAGAGAACCCACGCTGCACGTGGAGAACATGGAGACTCCACGCAGAAAGATCCCGGGTGTCCTCATCGAGACGTGAACCAGCGACCTTCTAGCTGTGAGGCTGCAAGGTGGCTCAGTGGTCAACACCGAGCCACCTTGCAGCCTTGTGGAAAGTCATTGCAGATAAATCTTTGAATCTAATTTTTGGGAGAAAAAAACTCTATAACTTCATTTTTCTAAGCAATGATATTTGGATTGGGTTGAAATCAAAGCAATAACTCTCTGCTTTGATAGATACAGTTAGAAATAAGAGACAAAATAAAGTTTTGGTAATTTGGGTAGACTGGCAAAGGCAAGGACATAAAAATAAAAGGTATCTTTTGACAAGTTTTTAGCCTTGAAGCAAATGAGGTCACCCTTGTTGGGCCTTTGATTACTGACTTATTCCAGTAATTTGAAATGATGAGTCAGTAAGCCCACACAAAATGTCTCCATAGAGACCCACAGGAGATCTCACTCCAGAGCCTTTGAGTTAAGGGTCTTCAACATCATCATACAGGTCTGGCTGAGTGTGGTGTCCTGCTCGCTGCCTGGTTGATAGATACTGATCGATGTGTGCTGCCTGCACTGTGTCTCTCAGCTCCCCTCAGTGCTGGATTTATGAAGCCTGGGGGCTGATCCACAGCCAAATTATGTGGGCGTGGCACAGCTGGACTGCACTCCTATCCATCTTCCCCACTCAACCTGGGCCCAAAAAAACAGAGGGGGAACTTTTCATTTTTCCACCACTGTAAGTGTTAGGTTCAGTCAGGACCACAAATCACCTAAGGACACAGAGTGGAAGTGTTCACACAAGCTGCTGGGCTTGAACTTGACAGCAGAGCAGCGGAAGAGATGTTCTCTCAGCATGCAGCTGCGATCTTTACATACCTGTCAGCGGATGATGCTGCGAGAAGGGTTGCAAAATCGTTGCCATTTTCATGTACGCGCACCAAAGCCGGGCATTCCCTTCATTGAAATTTTTGTCGTATGAAAAATTCCACTATCAGCTGTTTCAGCAAAATCTAGAGTGGGTGAATGAGTCAGCAAACATATACATATGGATGGTGTGACTGCTGCAAGTATTCTGAGTGTAACCTGCTGCTGGAGATGACTTACAGCGACACCTCCTTGAGCTGGAGTTTTCTGACATTCTCAGTAACATGGACAGATGGTGAAGACGAACCTGCAGCTGATTCTGTCTGTAGCAGCTTCTCAGTGCTGCTTCATTCATCAGAGGGCGAACTAGCTGTGGAGCATCACTATACCTGGGAGCAAGTGACAAGTAATGAGGAAGTGCTTCTTTATGTACACTGGAGTTATACAGCCGCTTAATGTGAAAGATTTATGCTTCTGTTTCATAAATGTAACTGAGGAGAATTTCACTAGACTCAACTAATATATATTTAAATGATGTTGCTTTCAAATGCACATACGCAGCCAGAGAAGCTCTTTTTAATGGTGATAATTATGCTGCATTTGTGTGTATTGATAATTTGTCTTCTAGTTGAGTGCCTTTGCAGGTCAACTGCTGTATTTACTGCATCTGCAGCTGGATGGTGCTGTCTGTGTGAGTGTGTACGTCACGGCTGGAGAGAGAGAGAGAGAGAGAGAGAGAGAGAGACAGTGGCCAGTGTGGGCCTCACTGTTCAAACATCTCAAAGTTTGCCGACGCGTCGTCTGCCTGGCAGGCCTGAGACAGCTCCGGCTCCAGGATTTCACACACCTACATGCCACATTCTCAGACTGCCTGACACTCATTTTGCAAGCACACACACAGTCCGGAACATACACACAGAAAGCTTTATACAATTTATAGGAGCACACTCACATCGCACAAGGCGCCCTGATTCTGATACGCAGACAGCAATGTTGCTGTCACGTGACCAATGCCTTGTTGCTATGACGACTCCTATGTCTCCTCGGGCATGTCTATCACATGTGGGGCTTGGTTAGGCAGTGAAGTGCCCCGCCGTTTCATCTCTTCATCCACGTTGAGAGGTAGAGCAGGCAGAAGGAGGTCTAACCATCAACTACTACATATGTGACAGTGGAACGTGGAGCTTCACTGTCCTTCTCTCTGTAACTGAAGGACAACTCACAGAACATCTACTGCACACCACACACAACAGTACACACCGATGTGTAGTTATCACATGATGCATTTTTACATCCACTACAATCTAAGTGACAGGGAGACAAAATGCACAACGAACAATGTCTTTGTTCTGTGCAAAAATACACTAGAAAGTACTGATAGGAAGGCATCAGCAGTTTGAGTTGGTTGAGCTCAGTGGGCATTTTGAAATGCTCTCTCTTTGTTATCCTGAACAGTGTCTCAGTGCAGGAGTAACACAAATACTGCTTATAGCCTCATAGCAGCTCACATTTCTCCAGTGATCAAAGACTTGATTACAACTAAAAATACCTTCACTGTACAACAGAGCAGTTTTGAGATACTTCACTTTTCTTTCTCACTTTTTATTTTGCTCCTTGACATTTTTGACTCCCTCACATTTGACACATAAAATGTACTTAGTGATGATATTTCTTTTTAGATTAAGACTCTACCTGTTCCATTAATCATGTCATGACCTGTCAGATTTATCTTGTGACCCTTTAAAGAGGTCTGACCCCTTGAAGAGGTCCTACCCCCAGCACTTTATGTAGTTGTCATACCACTGTTACGCTGATGACTCTCGGTTTGATGTCTGATTTAGCCTGTAAGTTTCCTACAATTGGACACAGGTCAGACGGATGAGCGGTCTGTGAGACAGCTCATCTGTCTGAAGTGAAGGAAAGTGTGACCCGCTGTTAGATTCTGATTAGTCCTGTCTCCATATTAGCGCTAAGTTATATTTAGAAGTAATTAATGAAGTTACTGCTGTTGTTCCACATGTGTAAATGCACGACTCTCATTTAGAGGAAAGACTCCGAACAACAACTGGAAGCAACAAACTGAACTTCTATTTGTAATAGATGTGAAACTGTAGGGCACAGTGTGTGAGAAAGGTATTTTATATAGTTTTGACACTCAAACTATCGCTGATGCTCTCTGTTACGTTTTTGTAACAGTATTGGTTTTGAAATGTGGAAAACTCCTTCTCCTACTTCACATAACTCAAAGTTTGTCCCTTTTGCCGATCTGTTAACTCCTACAGAAGATGAGCAGACTTCTCACATGTTGTCAGATTAACAGAAAGAAGTGCATGTTTGAAAGGTGCTTAGAAGTAAATCTGACAAAAACATGTCGCCATCTCTGCACCACAATAGAGGGAAGAATACGGCTCCTGCAACAGATGAAACTTGTCAAATATGTTTAGACAAAGCTCTCTCTGAACCTGTGAAGACACGTGACCAAAGTTAAAAAGAGAATGTTGTCTACTCACAGACCCCTCACTGCTGCTTTGTCTAACCCTGAGGAGAACACAGCACTGCTGCCTATAAAGGCCAGTCTGTGACTCGGCTTGAACCCACAGGTCAGCCTCTTTCAGTCAGGCTGTTTGTTTAGCGGAAAGCCAAAACGCTATAATAATCTGTTTGAGATGTTACGGCTCATGCTGCGGCATCCTTTCCTCGGACCACCGTCATTGACGTCACTGCTTGGCTGTCGGAAGTGGAGAAATGCTCAGCTGCAAAAGCAACAACAACAAGCAGAGGCAGTGCCAGTGACCGCAACCGGAGCTCCGTGCCGCTGGAAGTGAGGCGGATGTTGGGGACAGGGTTTGGCTCTAGATCACTCACATGCCAGTCATAGCAGGCTCAGGTGGACCTGGCCTGCTCTGCACTCACAGAGAGGTCAGTCTGCAGCAGCCGTGCACCGCTGACCCTTCCAGCAGGACCTCACACAATCTCGTGTCTTTACTGACCTTTGCAGGTTTTTCCATCGGGCTGCAGGGTGAATCCCACAGGGCAGCTGCAGCGCACCCCTGTGGCCGTGTCTTTACATGTCCTGTCGCAGCCGCCGTTGTTCACAGCGCAGGTTTCTAAAGATGGCGGGACAGAGATGGAAAAGGACAAAGAGAAAAAGGGGTTGTCAACATGTGCCCCTCTCCTCTGAAGCATGAAACTACAAACACTAAAAGCGGTTGTGGGTTGAGACAAAGCTTCATGTGGTAGAAGAATACACAATCAAACAGCAGCACAGTGGGATGTAATGTATTCTTGTGTTTTCTCATGTAGCTTTGTCAACACACAGATGAAGAAATTACATCACAAGACCCCAATTTTCATGAGCAGAGACGTTTATAGAGTTAAATACAGTGTTTATGCACCAGGAGTCACATCAGGAGTCATCAGACAGTGTATCATTGCAACGAGACATGACACATGACACTGTGCTGCCAAAGGAGGGTGAAGAACCCTTTGGCCCAAAAGGTCGGTCCAGTTTCTAAAAGTGACAAGAAATCGGTTAACACAAATACAAAGGTAGGGTTAAGGTAAGTAGATGGAAAAATAAAGTTAGTACATTGAGTGCTGTAAGTGTAGAACACACTCGGCAGAACCAGCGTGTATATTTTCCTCCAGAAAAATGTTCTTGTACGTGGTGCAGATAAGGTTTGCTGGGACTTGTGAATATTGCCTGAGCTGATCCTAAAACAAACAGGAGCTCATGGTAACTCTAGCTCACCTGCCCAGCTGCTGTTGCTTTAGCAAAGCTCAGCACACACTTGCCCAATGGGCCTCGAGAAGTGCTGAGGAGGCTGAAATGGGACGTTGACTCATGTTTGTTGAAAAGAATTCATTAAAACTACACCTAATAAGGACTTGAGTAACTGTTCTGCTTTTGGTGGGTTTGACTTTAGTAATTCCAGAGAACACTGTGTTGTAGGAGTGCCCATAAATCCTGGTCTTGTGGCTCCAGTAAGAAACAAATTGGTGAGTTCAAAACATGAAATCATCAAATGTATTTTCTTCAATTTCTTTAAAAAAAAAAAAAAGAAATGTCATTTTGGAATTCAAAAGGCTTCAGCAGGCAGCATGTAAATCAGGGATGTCCCCCTCCTATTTGGCAGCTTTTCCTATTTAATTAAAATGCCAGGAGATTGTGTGCCTGAGTGAAGTGAAGAGGGAAATAGGAAAAGCCCATTCAGACTGGCAAACACATCCACATCTCGAGGTCAGGGCATTAGCATAATGCCCTTTCAGAATGCAGAGTCACAAACACACTGGAGCCAAGATGGCTGACGCTTTCTATCCAGAAGCAGGAAGGTATTTGTAGATTTGTTTGTGTTCCCTCATGCAGCTCCAAACAACATCAGTCTCACGACTTCTTCCCTTAATCTCTGTTTTCTAGCCTGAATCTGTTCCTCGCTGTGTTTATCTGTCGAAGCTCTGTGTTCATCATCTGCAATCTTTTTCATGTCTACCCCTCTCTCTCTCTTTTGAAGTTCTGGAGCTCAGTTACGAAACTCTTTCAAATGTCAGACTCTTGCTTAAATGGAGACGTTTTTCAGGAGGAGAGCGGGCGGCTTCATAAATGTTGATTTCAAGAAAAAAATAACAAGGAAGAAGAAAGGCTGGAAGAGGAGACACTCCATCATCCAGGCAGCCTGTCGGATGGACCCTGTAGGGTACGACAGCAGACCCCCGTCCTGCCTCCACGTCCCAGCTCGGGACTCTGTCAGATGTATGTGTGTGAGAATGTGAGCTGCATTCAGGTCTATGTGCCTGCACAGGTGTATACAGTCAATGCTTCTTTTTTTGTGTGAGTGTAAAGGTGCATGTGAGCAGACCTGGTGTGTGTGGAGGTGGTGCTTCTGGGTCAGAGTGATTTATACTGAGTACAGTGGGCCCTATCATTAGCTGAGGCTGAGCACAGTCCTGCTCAGAGCCCCTCTCTCTGCAGGCCACGCCCAGCCCAGCCCCAGGGCCCGGCTGAACGCAGGAACACAGACGAACCGCCGGGCCTGATTGATGTGCTGGACAAGCCCCTCATACCACCCTCAGCCCCCTCTCCATGCCTCTGCACCCTCGAACATTGCATATTTCTTTCCCAGTCTGGTTTGTTCAGGAGGGAATGTGTGGTGGGGCATATTTCTGCATGCAGCTTCTCTCTTACAGGAACTGGAATCACCACTGATGGATTATAATCACATAGTTTTGTACAATTTGATTCATGTTTAATAGTTTATTTTGTGGTTTTCCTTCACCTAAAAATCAATAATTTCTTTAATGCAAAGAACAAGATGAACTGTTTTGATGCCACATTTGCTAAAATTGGTGTATTTTCTGCTGATGCTGGTCACTGAAGAAAAGGTGACATTACAAGAAGGTGAATGAGCTGCCGACTAGCAGACTGTGTGACTGTAGTTCTAGTTTTTAATCTGGGCTGTCTCTGTTTTTTCAAAATAAACGCTAGAGGAGCAACAGCAGTGGTAGCTTGGATTTATTCTGACACACTTATGAGTGGATCTTAACTTCAGCTCCTGAAGTTCAATACACATTCTCTGAAGTTACGTGTGTAAAATACAGAAAAAGGCCTGAAAGATAAAAATAGTTACGATGTCTGCATGAACTGGGGGTAAAACATGAGCCATGAGGCCACCTGAAGAGAAAGCTAGACTGATTAGAACAGAAATGCATCTGCTTTGTCAGATGCATGTGAGATGGATGAGGCCTTCTGTGTAGATGTGACCACACAGTCTGGCATGTTTGAAACACCTATGACTAATAGTTGGAGATTTTTATTTGCATTTTCATATCTGACTGTGTCTAAATGTTGTGAAATCTATCAACAGCTCAAAAGCTCACAAATCAACACTAAATAATACCTTTTAATCAAGTACAGTGGCCCTCCAAAGTTTGTATCGGTGGCCAACATCATCTGAAACTAGCCTTCATCCAGCATAAAGAACTTGGATGGAATGAACAAACCCAATCAATTTATTCATTAAAAACGTAAATGTGCTTATTTTCCAAAATGTTGAACTCTTCCTTTAAGCATTCCATCAAAATAGACCATCTGACTTATCAAGTAGGTGATAAAGTAAAAACTAACCATATACGAGGTGTGTCAGAAAAGTTCCAGGACCGGTGTCACAAAAGATAGATTTCAAATCCAAATACAAGTTTTCTCCTTCAAAGTAATCCTCCTGGAGTCTAACACACTTCTCCAGCCTTCTCTTCACACCTCCATGCACTCCTGGAAGAATTCTTCCAGGATCCTCTCAGCTCCATCATCAGCCATCTTGATGTCGTCCACGTCTTCTAAACGGGTCTCCTTGATGACCCCCTTGAGCTTGAGGAAGAGGAAACAACCCCACAGAGCCAGGTGGGGTGAGTAGGGAGGTTGCTCCAGCACGGCCATGTTCTTCTGAGTCAGGACCTGTGGGATGCTCAGGGCGTTGTGAGCAGGTTGTCATGGTGAAGCAGCCTCCACTGGTCCTGACACAACTCTGCCTCTTCTGGTGCACTGAATGAAGCAAACGCTGCAGGATCTGCAGGTAGACGTGCTGGTTGATCGTCTGAAGGGGAAAACTCCTAGTTTGTGGTTTGAAGTGTATTTTTTGTGACACCAGTCCTGGAACTTTCTGACACACCTCGTACTGTTGTTTGTCACCAGGATCACACAGGCTGCTGTTTCTACTCTGTGCTCAGTGACGTTTAAATCCAGATCAGTGATGAAAGTGAACGTCATGTACAGCTTTGGACATAATCATTTCTAATGCGACCACTGTTTCCTGCCTCTTCGGTTCTTCTTGTTTGGTTTGTAATGATCAGCTGTTTAACTGTTTCAAAGCTGGTTAGCAACACCTCTTTCACTGTCTCTCTCTTCGTTTAGCACCAGGGCAGCTGTCCTCTTGTCATTTCACACTCACTACTTTTACACATTGCTGAGTGATAGTTTAGTTTGGATTACCTGTTGACTATACAAAAACAGTTTATGCATTAAATAATAGTGACTTAATTACTTTTTTTTCTTCTAGTGTGAATTTTGAAATGTTCACAGTTTTAAAACTATCACATTTCATAATGTGTTGCATGTAATGAATTATTATAAGACTTCACCTGGTGCATTCAACTATGATAAAGTTCTAACAAAATGATGAATCTTAAAGGCCTGTCGTGTAGATTCTGTAAAGAAAACAGCAGATTTACTAATAATTATCCCCAAAGCTGCACGTACATAATTAATTTTTATTAACCCACATCTTTAAAAAAAAAAAAAGGATATATTTGTTTACAGTTGTTAACACTGACCATCGTCTAAATGAAAACTTTAGATGGTGAAGGTTTGTCATTGAGTGATTTGACGCCGATGAAATCACAATGACAGGAAGAAGAAGAAATAGTTTCAGGTTAGAGGAAGCTGAGAAGATGAATATAACTGCATACTGAAGAAAGGCAGCAGCTTCATCTGTAGGGGTCACAATAGGTCACAGGAGAGAAGTGGAACGAAAGGAAAGACACTCAGTACACATGTCCGTCACACTGTTCACATGTTAAATGATCTTTTTGTGAGAAGAGGAAACATGTTCTACTGATTAAAGCTGGAGAGCATCAGAGAAAAACACAACATGTGCACTGTGTAAACTAAAGCATCCTGCCAAGTAGCAGCTACTGCTGCACTGCTGTTCAAAGGTAAGAGGGGTGCGATCACCTCTCAGCACTCAGATGCCTTTTACTGTGGCGATGAGCTCCTACATCAGCTGTCAGTCAGCATATGTTGGGACTGTGACAAAGCCATATGGATTCACACAAACACAAATACATGGTTCTCTGTTATAAAGCGATCGTTTATTCTGATTCGGCAGCTCTGTTGTACCGCTGAGGTCTCGTTTTTGACACTCTGCTCACGTGTGTTCCACAACTGGCTCCTGATTTCGTTCAATATTACCATCAGAAAATGTGACTTTTCAGCCCCTCTTCTCCACTGCCCTCTCTTCTCTTTCTGTCTCGCTCCTTCCATTTTCTATAGGCTGTCCTCACCTCAGCGGCACGTTTTCATTAGAGCCTCAGCAGCAGCAGTTCCATTCGTCTTGATCAGTGTGTTGTCTGCGAGGGCAGAGACGGGAGCTCCACGTGTCAGAGGAATCAGACAAACTGATAGCAGTGTCAAATCTAACATACTGATGCTGCTCAGGCTGTGCCAGTGCAGCAGTTGGGTGGCCTCTGTGCTCTCAGAAACCACGTGTCCCTTCATGCACATGGTGGGAGCAGATATGTGCATGTTTCAAGTGATTTACAGAGTACGTACGAAGAGTTCATTTGCAAAAACAAATAACTCCACCTTCACAAACCTTCAACTGTCTACCTGAGACAACATCAATCAGACTTAGTTATCTCTATTTGTGTCATTTCTACTGAGTCAAATCCACTCAGCTGCAGTTTGATTGATATCATCTCAAGTAAACAACAACAAAAAAAAACGTTTTCTGAAAATCTACAAAAATGGAGTTATCTGTTTACTGCATATGAACTCTTCATATGTCATGTGTATGTTTAGTATTAGGGTTGAGTAAGTATCCAACTATGTTAGGACACACAGTCTAATCACGTCACTCAGTTCTAAATACAGCATAGATGTGTCCCAGCTACAGCCAGTGCCTGAAAACACAACATGTTTAAATGTCTGCTACTAAGATCAGTTTATCAAACGTCACTCGTAATGTGTTCAGGTGCATCAAGATGATATGTGTTAAAAGAAAAAGTACATTTACTTTTACTGCAATGGATGAAGTTGCAGCAATTCTGTTAAATACAGCCAAGCTGCATGTCATTTGTAAATTTCACACCAGTCCAGCTCGTTGTGTAGTTTATGGCTGAGACCAGCTGACACGAGTAAATCACTTTGTTGTGTTGTGAGCTTTATTCCATTAGGAGACAATGCTTATGTCATGGTACATTTTTAATTGAATTAGGAAAGAGTTGTTGAAAACCAGCTGGACAAATTATTTAGAAAACTGGAGGTGCTGCTTTGAGTGACCCTGATCTTACTGTGGAGGGGCTGATGTGAAATTTGCTATACAAGAGTTATTAACTTCAGTCCCTGTCTGGAGCTTTAGCCATGAAACCCCAGTGAGGAGTATGTGATGCACAACAGGCAGCCCTGTATCACTACATCAGGACAGGAGACATGCTGGTACAACAGGAGGTGGAGCAGGGTTTAGCCAATGAGGAGAATATTCAATGAAGACATAACTGAAGGAGGAAAGAAAGGGGCAGAGAGGTCCAAGAAGAACGACAAAGCCTTTAAAACCAAATTTTTCATTCTTTCTTCAAGCCACGCTGGCCAGAACCTGCTGAAAGGAAACTTATGGAAAGCATGGAATACAGCTTCACAAACTACAGAGTACAGCATGTTGGTCTGGAATACTGCGAACCTGAAGAATGAAAGCGGTGCTTTGGAAAAAGCACAACTTTGATTAAACTGTCCATCTGATTTTGGGAAAGTCTGACTGACTAAATCACAGCAAAAACAAAAGGTGGAACGGTCGGGTGATAGGACACCGTCCCTCAGAGTCATGCTGTACTAGTCTTTTAAAGAATAGGAGACACCATCCCTTAGCATTTTTGGAGTAGAGCACCTGACGAAAAAGTCAAAAACAGATTGTATCAGGACTGAGCAGCAACTCCAAAACTGTGGTCCAGGTTACCTCAGGGTGCCTCCTCCAGAACATCAGCATCTAATTATTTTATAACATTATATATATATATATTGTTCTGTGTTCAAACCTGCCGGTCGACTGGGTCTGAATTTAAATGTTCTCTCTCTGCCTTCGTGGGGTTTCCCAGTGACATGAATGGTCGGTTAATTTGTGATTCCAAATTGGCCAGTGAGAGTGCAGCTGTGTGTGCCTGGTTATGTCTGTCGTTGTGTTCAGTTCAGTGCTGAGCTGGTGACCTGTCCAGGGTGTACCTCGCCTCTCATCCAGGAACAGTTGGGACAGGACATAGTGGGTATAACTGATGGATATTTTGGTTTAATTTGCAACTGTCCCATCAAAGAAGTGCGAATCCACGGGAATTTTAAGAGAGAAGAATTCCTGAATCTAATAAAATGAGCATTATATGTATGGGAGTAAAACTTCACTGAACACAAAGTCTAAAAAATGATTTGGTAGAAACGAGCAGGATTCCTAATATTCAGCCAAGGACATTGCAAAACCTTTACAGCACACTTCTGTAATCATCAGACATGTCAGGTCAACGACCTTTACGGGGTTTTGTTTTGCTAGTAAGGTGTCCTGTTTCTGTACAATGGGTCATCACACATGATGGTAATGGAACACAAAACACTTGGAGTAAGGTGTAACTGGGAAAGTCAATGTTAGTCACTGAGAAAACCTTAGAGTCATCCAGAAGTTTGGTAGGTAGAGTTAGGTGGAAAGGGTTTAAAGAAACTGTGACCGTTTTTAGTCATTTTTCATCATCATCATCATCACGTTAGACACAGTTGCAACTGTGGGAGTCGACACAGTGGGCACCAAAGTTTACAATTGTTTTTTCAAACAAAATAAAGACAGAAGAGGAGAACGAGAAGGAACGGAGAGGAGTAGAGTCTGGGATACAAGCACAAGCGCCATGGCAACACATAGAAAGAGGAAGAAAAGAGTTACCCATAAGTAGCCGCCGTTTCACCCGCTTGTCCACATCAGCTACTGACGTGGCATTGAACTCAGAGCTCTCAATTGCAGCCTCATCTTTCTCTAAAACACAAGTGACAAGGGGACAAACAGTGAGCAGCAGGTTAATGAGAAGCCCAAATGACCAGACCTTCAGCCCCTCTTGGCGTTTGAGCAAAAAACCAAAGCCAAGAAGCAAGAAGCGATGAAGAAGTGCCAAAATCCCTGTTAGAGTGTTAATCCCCAAACAAATGATAAATCCCCCAAAGCAAATCAAAAGAACAAAACAAAATAAATGAAAATGATCAGTATCAGTGTGTAGCTTACAAAATGAAGCGGTAGGTAGGTTGGTAGGTCGGTAGGTAGGTGGGGGAGGGGAGGGGAGGAGGTTCAAGGCTTACATATGAAGAGTTGTAACAAAAAATGATAGAGGTTTGGGGTTTTAGGGATGGAATGGGTTGGGGTGAATATTAAGGGAGATTTGCATTGTGATGTTGACGTTGCTGTTGTCGCAGATGGAGTTTCTGTCTTCCATATCAAACAGCCACACTTTCTCAGCAATGATTCCCTCACGTTAGGATGGAGGAGGAGGAAGGCGAGAAAGAGAGGGAGGATACAAGCCCAACATTTCCAAGACAAGCCGCCTTAAATGTGGGCACAGGGGCAGAAGCAAAACTGGGTGAGGATGACGACAAGAGAGAGAAGAAAGGCTGGTGCAGGGCACAGGAGGTCGCGGAGGAGAGTGAAGCGCTCCAAGAGCTGAGCGATAACAAGATGACTGAGAGGGGATGAGGAAGGAAAAGAGAGAGCGAAAGAAAGGAGAGAGAAGGAAGACAAAAGACAGAATCAGTCCCATCATGGCCCACAATGAGAGAGGTATATGAGGGAAGGAGGGTTTCACACACCGAGAAATGGGGTTGAAGGAGGAGTGTAGGGAAGGCATGCAGAGAAAAAAAAAGTAGGAGGAGGTAGTCTGGGGGCAGCGCTGGTTGCCTGTTTGTCTATGGAATACATCACAACTGGCTTTACAGTCAACGCTGGAAAAACCACATTCCCAAATACTGGGCAGCAAAGGGGGCGTGGCAGAGGGGGGGGCGAGGAGGATGGTGAGAGGGGGAACTAGAGGACGGTGCTGTAGAAGGAGCTGAGATGGCTGTTAAAGTGGCATGCATGTGCTGCGCTGGGGATGGCGGGGTTGATGATGAAGCCGGGAGAGGGAGGCGGCCTTTTCACCGGGCCTGAGTTATTAAGGCCTGAATGAGCATCTCTCTATGAATGGACGCCACTTGCCGCAAAAGAACAGGCCTTTGATGTACACGCTCGGTCTTATGGGGCGGTGGGAGGGGTGGATATGGGGGCAATTAACATCCCTTCCATTCCGCAGCCCCAGCCTGCAACCATTTTCTCTCTCTCCTCTCAGGCGCATGATGGACAAAGTGGAGGACTTTCTGAAGCACACTCAGGGATGAATGGAGGCTTTCTGGTGCTGAGCTAACGGGTGAAATGTGCTTGTGTGAATGTGTGTGATTGTTGAATCAAGAGCTTGTGCATACCAGTGTGCATGCTTTTGAGCGTCTGCTTGCTTGAGTGTGTGAAAAAATCTGTCGGAGAGGGAGTTAAAACGGGAGTGTGTGTGTGTGTGTGTGTGTGTGTGATGTGTACGACAGGTTGAGGAGGTTGGGAAGAGCGAAATCCCCGCCACTTACTCCTAAAGAGACTATGGCACTAAGTGGTGGTCGGAGGCCCGCAGAGAGGGGAGCTGTTTTAGAGAGCCAGACCTACACAGGACGAGGAAGGGGGAAGAGTTAAACCACTCTACGCTACTAGAGCTAGGAGGAGAATGGTAAAACCGATGCACTGGAAGGAAACAGAAGGACCAGGGTCGCTAAAAACAACAACAACAATAAAAAATGTAGTTCATTTCAAATAGGGAAAATGAGAGAAAAAAAAAAAAAAAGAGAAAAGAAAAAAAGGGAAACCATACAAATGCAGTGTAGGCTCTCCCATGCAGCTGGGCAAGCAGACAAACAACAGACGGCCGGATTAGTGAAAGAGGCAGTGGCAAGATGAATGGATGATGTGGCACATGTGAGTGGACGCATGCAGTATGAACGGCAGGTGTAAGAGTGAAGACGGGTGAACAGTGCGAGTCCCTGCCTAGCTGTTCATGTATGGGGTGCTAATGGATGGGGATGAGGCATGGAAGTCATTTTGGTTTGGCAGAGTTTTGGTGTTTGGTCCCTTTTTGTGAGGAGGTGGTGGTGGAGGATGAGGAGGTGGTGAGAGAGCTGGAGGAGGAGGTTAGGCTTGCTTTCTTGGGAGCTTTAATGTAAGATCAGGCTGCAATTGAGATGTCCAAGTCTAACCCAATGCCCCTGACCCCCCATCCCAGAGTCACTCTTTCCTCTTGTGTACTGAGGATTAATCCTTATTTCCACCTGATTTGGTTTTAACATGGATGCTCAGACAAGACAGGCAATCAGGTACTATCACCAGAAAGCAGGAGGAGGAGGAGGAGGAGGATTAGGAGGAGGAGGAGGAGGGAGGAGGAAGAAGGAACAGAGGGACAGGACTTTCTCGAAAGGGTGACGGGGGGTGGGGTTAAAGGTAGGCCCGTAGAGCAGTTGGGACACTCGGACCACAGACAGAGAGGTCCTTTCTCTCATCAAAACATGAAGAGAGAGAGAGAGAGAGAGAGAAAAGACACAAGACACTGGGAAAAGAGGGAGAGGAGGGTTCCCGCTCTCATTCTGCTTCCTCTTCACAGCTTCTCCTTCACAGAGGATTCCACTTCTTCAAAGCAGCTGAAAAGAAAACGGGTTAGTGGCAGTCAAAACCTGCTGCTGCTGCTGCCGCAAAGCAGCTCAGCAATCAGCTCCAGTGGTGAGGGACAGAGAGAGACAGAGGAAGACAGAAGCACAGACAGACGGAGGTGTTTCCAGTGTTCAAACACAGCATCAACATGGCATTGGATCAAAAACATCCGTGTGTGATCAGCAGCACCGATTATCATTCTGAGACGTTTCTCAGCAAACAGACAGGAATGAGAAAACTTAGAGCGTCTTCTAGTTGAGCAGGTGGTTGTAATCTCACCAGGTTACAGGTAACCAAGTGTTAAATCACACAAACACTTTTCTTTGGTTTGAATATGGAATTTACTTGATTTGGTTCATCAAGGTTTTCACCGCCCAATTACAAACGAACCAGAACTTGTGAACAAGAGTCACATGGACTCCCAGGCAGCTCACTAACTGGACGGAGCTCTGGTGACCTGTCGTGCTGCCAGCGTACAGAGTCTGGCAGCCGAGGAGTCAAAACAAATTTTGATTCAAAGCTCGGAACTTTAGTGATTACTGCTTCTGGGACTTTTGCCGAGAAAGAATTGCTCTGAACACCTTTTCTGGAGTTGGTGTCAGTTCTGAATATGTGAGGAAATTGCCAAATAAGACATCAGACTGTGGTTTGGTCTTGGTTCATTTTGTTATGATTAACTTTCCAAATCTGAGGAGCTGCTGGCTATCGGATGTCGACCTCCATCTCATGCTAGCCATAAATCCTGGATTTTTGGGAAGTTTTCTGTAATTTATTTGGATTTCTTTCTTACTACAGACAAAACTCACAGCAATGCTTTTAGAAAAAGACTGACACGTTCCTTTTTCTAGGTATATTGGGTGTGACCTGAATTCAAAGACCATTGCTCCCATCCAACGGAAGAAGAGTTCTTGCCTCAAACAGTTTAGATCATCTGGTTGAAGCATGCAAAAGAATACGTCCATTGCTAGTAACTGACTGCTGCCATGTGCTCTCTCCTGTCTCCAATTCATGTTAGATACACAGCAGACTCAAACACAACCCTGTGCAATATCACTTCAATGTCAAATCACCTCTGTCACCTCTCAGGAACTGCATTTGTTGTAAGTATATAAATAAAATGTCTCCTCTTATGAGCAACCAAAAAGAAATACTTCTGAAAAAAACCTACTTAATATACAGACCCCAAAGTAGAAACGCATTGTAACAAAATTAAACACGCCTGATTACTGACACACAAGTTAGAAAATCTGTGATGGTTCAAATTAAATTGAGTACATGTGATTTTCAATCAGCCTAAATGAATAAATATAGTTATAAAAAGAACACCAAAACGTTCTCAGTTTTAGACGTATTGGCGTCTGTCTGCACGTCTACATTAGGTCTCCACATGGAAGGACGAAAATGAAAAATCTGATGGTGAGACTACACCAATATGATAAGGAGCACAGGAACCTCTGTGACCAATTAAGATTGAGTTGAAGCCTAGCCTAGCTGTAATCAGGAAGTATAGAAAAAGCCACAGCACCACCCACAGTAGTCATCTTGCTCACCGGACAGGGTGCTAATCTAGTTTTAATCTTAGCACAGAAGGCCAAGTGCTTCAGACGAGGCACAGTGTCTCAGAAAAACACTGGTCCTTGATTGAAACAAGGTGAATTTGTTTGGTTTCGGTGTGAACCTGGCCGGGACTGCAACAGTAAATGCATAGTCCCACCAGTCCAGCACAGAGGTGGAAATTTCACGATGTGGGGCCGCATGAGTGCAAAGGTTTTGGGGAGATGACATTTATTGATGGTACCACGGATGCCTGTGGATATACCACAATGCTCGCTGACGAGACGACTCCCAGCGTGCAGAGGTTTGGCAGAGGAGCATGATAACGATTCAAAGCACGCTGCCAAAATCACACAGGAGATTCTGAAGAGGAAAAAAGTGAAAACTCTGACCTGGCCAAGTATGTCTTGGCTGACTTAAATCCAATTATACACCTTTGGGGTGTTTTAAAGAGAAAGGTAGAGCAAAGAGCATCTGAAAAAAACGGAGAATATTGCTCTGGAAATCTGTGCAACGCTGGTGTCTTCCACACTAAAGAGGGCTGAGTTTGAGATTTGTTGCATTGAGTTCATACAGTGGAGCCTGTATTTTTAATATAGTAAACCTAAACCGTCTACTGCTCAACTTCGACATGATGGGATTAATGTAACTATCGTCATTTGACATTTAAGTCATATTGCACAGGCCTGTACTTACTTCAGTTGTATACGTCACATTTTTAAACAAGTTGTGTGCAGTTTATTTATTGTTCTCTGGTATTAATGATTCCACCTCAGACTAAATGAACAGAAACAATCTGTTCACAAAGATAACACAACAATGTCTTCAACAATCAGAATGTTAAACATACAGTCCTGTAGCTACATTCTTTAATCCAAAATCAACATACAGCCAAGCATCCCATTCAGAACGTGCACAACTTGACAACTTGGATTATCTTGTACTGGATTGCACAGCAGTGGTGCAGCCATCAGTTAGAACTAGCCAGCAAAAGAAAACCAGTTCTGAAACAATGTCTAGTTTAGCATTAAAACAGTCTGAGAATCAACTTCAGTAAGGAGAGGTCACCTGATCTCTAGCTTCCTTTGCTACGACTGAAAGAACTAAATGTTATCATCTTAGGGGGAAAAGCAGGCAATGCTTTTATGAACTTGACAAAAGTAACTTAAGCAAATTGAGAGCATGCATTTCTGCACTCCACTTTCTAATTTAAGGGTACAAAATACAAATGACTAATACCTTAATACCTGCCCAGACACTATAGATTACATGCCCTGGAGGCCAAGCTACTCAAACAGCCAGTCACTGGCACATGCCACTTCAAACTGGCTTCCAGAGCAAAGATGCGGTGATGAAAACTGATTTCTGGCTCTAACAAACCTCCTCATGTTTACATCAGCAGGAAGGAGGTGGGAAAAAACAACTCTGAACAGCTTCACTTACCTGGAACGCCTGATTCATCCTGTACTGATTAGAAAAATATCAAGATGAAAATGAATCTCCTTTAAGTGAGAGCCAGGATGCGAAGGCACGCTTCTGCTGACACTCATCTGTACAAATGACCTGTTTGAAAAGAGAGCGGCCGGCTGGCTGCTAACAGACTTCTGACATGATGAATGTGGGAGATCTGTCAGTCATTCATTCTCCACCAGACAGCACCGTCACTTCTCTGTAACCTAAACATATCACTGCTCATTCCTCGGCCCTGACACACTTCCATTATGATGCTCTGTCCAAGGCTAACGATGTGAAATATCATTGTGCTTGTGTATTAAAGACATTAATGTTTATGTAGCAAACATGATGGGACAGAGATTAATTGTTGATTTGTGCATGCTGTTCTACGGGACAATCTTCTGTCTACATTGGACATTAAACGGAAGCTCTGTGACGATTTTGTTTGTGAAAATACAAAATTTCTGTGTGTATTTATATATATATATATATATGAGATTTTTAAGGCTGTCGAAAGTATCGTATTAGCTTTTGTGTTTCATTTAATGTGCAAACATTATTCTGCAGTAAGAGATCACATCCAAATCGAGGCAGCTCTGTCTGTCAGCTTAGTCCTACTGATACAGAACTTGTCATAAGTCTGAGGTTCCCAACTTGGTCCTCAAGCCAACTGCTGTCTCGACTTTGTAGTTGATCACTGATAGTCTCCAGAAATAAAACAAGGTGCTCGCTGCAGTCTGCCATTCAGAGTCAAGATATTACAACATTTCATAAAAATAAAGTTCAACTTCTTTACAATTTTGAAGCGTTTGCACCTTGTGGAAGTGATGATTTGGAAAGAAAATACAAATGGTCTAAAGAAAATAATTTATTTAATGTCACTGATTTCATCTTGTACAAAACACAGATTTATGATCATGGTAGCTCTGTAGCCGTGGTTTTGGTGGGTTGTGCATAAGAGAAATATTTACACTACTAATGCAGGTGAGATGCCGACTATAGTGCAGGTGAAGCCGGATTACAGCTTCCCTAAGTACGGCATTGATTGAATAAGGTTTTATTCATCAGCTTTTACTGGCAGCGTTTCTGAGCAGTCCCAGAGATGCACCAGGCAGGACCGTACAGGACTGAGTCTCATTCATGTCGCTATTGACAGTGTTGATTGATTAGAATTGAGGGATAAATCAGGGCAGAGCTGGCTGTGGAGATAATTCTGTTTAAGTCCTGCTTCTTTCTGTTCGCGTGAGAAGCTCCCTGCCTCTTTTGTGTTCGCAATGTTTAAATAGCAGAGGCCAGGGCAAGAGGGTAGGAACTGTTGAGGAGCTAGGAGGTAATCTATCTACCAACTTCAGCCCTCCTCCCCCACTTCCTCATGACGTTACTTTCCTTCTTCTGCACAACGACTCAAGACCTTCTATCGTACAACAGATGTTACAGTGAAGCAGCTGTGAGAGCTTCGGGGTGTGTGTGTGTGTAAACTGGGCAGCCGTTGTGGTTGTCACTCACCGATGCAGGTCTTGCTGTCTGAGTGCAGAGCGTACTTCTGGTGGCAGCCGCACACCGGCCCCGTGTCCGTGTCGTCACACGTGTGCTGGCAACCGCCGTTTCCATAGTTACACGTCACTGAAGACGACACACACGTTAGATCTCACACCAGCATGTGCATCACAAGGCTCATGAAATCCAATTTATATCTCTACATTCATGACAGTTTGGCCAAATTAACCAAAAAGAGCCATAAAGGGACGTGCCTCATGTGAAACAAAGAAATTAAAGTCAAATTTATTTCTAAAGCACATTTAAGAAGTTAATTCAAAGCATCGGAATAAAAAAGACAACAAAGTCAGGGCATCAAGCTCAACCTAAATCAAATGCCAACGAGAGAGACCTAAAACTTTCTACGGTCTCAGGAGCTACTACATTAAACTGTTCTGGAGGTTAGGAGGAGCTGCTCCAAAGGCTTGATTGCCTCTATACGATTTGTCTTGGTGCCAGAACATCGAAGGGCATCTGGTTGGTTGAGCTCAGTGTTCAACTGAGGTGTGATGACGCACAAGTGATGCTAAGTTAGGTAGTACCAACCCCTCTAAACCGTTAATGGACAAGAGGCCTGGGAAGAGACGACAGCACTGGTGTGTGATCATGTTTTCTTTCATTTTGCACCAGCTGCATGCGCCAAAGAGAAAACTGCTTTATGACACATAGGAACAATTACAACAGTCATACTGAGTGATAATAAGGCCATAAATAACTTTTTTTTTTAAGTATGGGAAAGAGAGATAGGCCTTCATCTTGTCTAAAAGTCTTCATTGAAAGAAGTTTTTTTTTTTGGCCTCTGTGCCTTTATTGGATAGTCTAGTGAGAGAGAGACAGGAAAGTAGGGGAGAAGACATGTGGGAAAGGGTCATGAGTGGGATTCAAACTCATGACCTCCACATTGGGACTGTAGCCCTGCACATGGGACGCCAGCTCAACCAGGTGAGCTATAGCGGCATCGAAAAAGAAGCCGGTTTTGACCCCTGAGCTGAACTTTCAGGGTCATCCAAAGCTCAGGTCAACCAAACATCTCAGTCCTATTTCTATGGCCACATAGATTTGTAAACTGTTCACAAAACAATGAAAAGAAATCATATTTGGACCTCAAGGACACATATTCAACAACATAAAAAGATTGGGCACAAAATGGCGCCTTAAGGGACTCCACAAGACCTCTGCAAAATGTAAAAAGAAGAAGCTGATTTAAAAATATCTTACAGAGAAACCAGGTATCAACCTAAGTTCATCGCTCCTGAAACAGCCAGCTGTGTTCTGTTTCTTATAACTGGTCAAACACTTGTAGCTCCTCCTAACTTGCCTTACAGTTCTCGAGGTGAAGAAAGCAGATATGAATACACTTAGTGAACTTCTCAGCCTTTTTTAAAACTTTGTAGATCCTTAATCTTTACCATTTTGGGATTTTTCAGTGGCTCTTAAGAAAAAAAGAAAGGACGTCAGAAGGGTAGGAACAAGACAAGAAGGCAAAAGGATGAGGCAGACAGTAAAAGACGGAGTGGACGCAGGACACAAAACAAGAAATAAGTGAAGAAGAAAGGCAGAGAGGGCACGAAAGGAAAAGGACGGAGAAGATGTGTGCGTGCTTGTGTGTGCACATGAAGGTGTTGTAGACATAACTGCCGTTCCTTTTATCACTCATTTACTACCGTCCTGTGCCGCCGCGCTCAACAGGCCGACACAGCACCGGGTCCCTGGCCGCTAATGAAATATTACCACAGTGGGGGATGCATTAGAGCCTTTCAGAGGCTTTCACAATCTTTACACTCTAACCGTCTGAGAAGGAGAACAAGATGTGTTGCCAAACAAAGTGTAACTAAAAGCTTATTTTTCCCCCTCAAAAACAGCAGCCCTAAATTCCATGGCTGCAGGCATTCAGCGTGAAGAGTGAGAAACAGGGATGGAGCTGCAAAGGGGTGTTTAGAGACATGAATTCTCTCTACTGAATCCTTCAGCACCTTCAGCTTGGCCTGAAACGCTTAACTGATTTTGGTATTAAATGTCCACCCTCATATTTTACCACAGCAGGCCGACTGGAATTTGTCCATCATTGCTATTACAGATGTTTATTACAGGAACAGTTTAGATCCTTCATCACACCAGTACGTAACTGCAATAAAATTAAGCCTATAAAACAAAGTGTTAATACCTTGCTGCCATGTGAGTTGTAAAATAAAGCGACAAGTCAATTGACTAAAGATTAATAGATGACGGAAAGCATTACACAAAAATGTATATAGCATTTCAAAACATCCAACATCTGCGAGCTGTGAACAATGTAAACAAATGTGAGCGAACCTGGCATGATGTTGACCTTAAAGCACATTGGCTTCCTGTGGTGAGTGTGTGTCGGTGTGTGTGTGTGTGTGTGTCAGTGTGGGGTCAGATGTGATACATACATGTACAGTCCTTCTGGTTTTTGGCCAGCTCAAAGCCAGGTCGGCACTCGCACGACACTCCGCCTTTGCCTGGAGCCTCTCTGCAGATGTGGGCGCAGCCGTGGTCCTTGTTCATGCAGTTCATTCCATCTGTGCACAGGACAGAGACAACGGCACGTTACAGTGTTTTCATTATACAGCGCAAAACAGAATCAGTCTGAATCGTGTTTCTGTGTGACAATAAATAAGCAACAATCAGTGTAAAAAAATATTTATTGTGTTGAGAGTCAAAAACTGAGCAAGTCCACTTCATCAGGTCTGTGTGGATGTAGAAGAGCTCCACCCACCATCAGACTCTGATTTACACAAGTCCACACTGAACGATAGAAATATTTGACTTTACTCTCTAAATGAACTTCATCCACTTCAAACTGTGGCGAGAAATAAAGAAGTACAGAAATGTCTCCTGTGAAAATGACAAAAACCTGTTGAACTCGTCACGTAGAGAAAAAATTGTTTTCAGCACAATTCTTCTCTATCATGATGCATCCATATCACCTTATGGACAGACATACAGACACATCCATAATGTGGTTTTACTGAACTTCAGTAGCACTTGGCTATTCTATGTATGCATGTATTTAGTATATTACAGACAGGACACTTTGTCAGATTTACCCATTTATTTGGGATCTCATGCATTTGAGTTTGGTGGTGACTCTGCTCGAGTGATGCTCTGGAACAATCTGAGCAAGCATGACACAGACAGTCCCTGAGATCACAAACCCCCCGGCAGAGCCTTAAATTCACAATATTCAAATACAGTATCCAGTATAGGCCCACTAAATGGTCTTCACTTTACAGAATCCAGATTACATAGTTCCAAGGCACAATAATGAACACTCTGCATCCTACAGTCCACGATATGGGAACAACCAGGGTTATTCAACAGAATTCAATTAAATTTTATTTGTATAGCGCTGTTTACAACATATGTCATCACACAACATGGTAAGATGAAGACCTTACAAACTTAACCAGAGAACCCAACAATCTAAAGCAGCCTCTGGACTCTCTGAGCAAGCGGTCGGCAACGGTGGGAAGGAACCAAAACCCCCCAAGGGATCGGGGGAAAACCTCCGGCAGAACCAGGCTCAGGGAGGACGGCCATCTGCCTCGACTGGTTGGGTGAGAATGATCAGTTATTTAATAGATGGTTGTGGAATTGAACTGTTTTAAAGGGGGTGGTTGGGGAGGAGGAGGATATTTGTCGATCTGTAGAGGCTGGAGGAGCAGCGATGTGCTGAGCGTGGAGCAGCAGAATGAATGAACGCTGCCTCAGTTATAGAGCAGCTCAGTGGGTGGGCTGGACTGAAGTAGTGAACGACTGGACAGGACGGGCCTTGTGACGCCCTGACTCCATGCCTGTCTGAACTAATGTGAAGCGCTACATAATATGTACGGTATATATCTTTGTCTAGCAAACATGCACCTCATGCAAAACTTAGGCAAAAGACCAATATTTTTTAGGAAGTAAATACAGGTTAGTTTAGTCTGTAGTTCTCTGCCAGCGTGGTAGTTGCTATAGTTTTCATCAATATTTACTGTCTGATGTTTTTCAGTGCATTTGACAATCTGTACTGTCAGAATGGCAAACCATCACAAGCAGCAAAGAAGACAGTCCACCTCATGTTGATGCTCCTGCAATGGGTTCACTTTATTTTTAATCTGTTCTTATCGGACTGGAATAATGACTCTAAAGAGAAACTAGTGGTGCAGCCCCAGCATCAGTCAGTCTCATTACTTTGGTCCAGATAAAAATATTACCAGATGGATTCACACACATTCATTCATTCATTCATTCATACATTCATTCATTCATTCATTCATTCATTCATTCATTCATTCATACATTCAGTCAACCTTTATAACCTCATGTTTCCAGTCACTGCTTTTAGTCCAAGTTTGATTACATTTAGGCACCAGAACTATGTGGTTAGGTTTATAGTAATACCACAGACTGGGTTAAAAGACGACTCCTTCACAACATGTTTGAACTCCTCTCCTATCTGCTGGATTACAAGGAGTCTTGTCCCATCTAAATATAGGTTTAGATGCGTGAATAAAGCAACAAAATAAGAGACGCTGATTTGAAATGTGTTGTGATATGTCACAAATAAACATAATCTGGCAAAAACTTGTTTCAAGATATAATTGAAAATGCAGTTAAGCTGTATAGATGTGACATCCAGTCACGACTCGATAATCCGACCCTTAACAATCCTAAACTTTGCTATCCAACAGGTTTTAGGAAAAACTAACGGAACCCATAAAAACAGCTTTAACATACCGACAGCCTTGGATTCTGACTCCAACATGACATTTTATGTCACCAATCAGGATGACGGCGTATTATCTGACTGAACAATCCCACAGATTGGCTACGTTCACACTGCAGGACTTGATGCTCAATGAGGATTTCTTTGTGACTTCCTTCACGTTTCCAGTTAAATGCGACTTGTATGTGATCTGCTGTGTGAACTTCATACGACCCAAAAGTGTCCCGCATGCAAGCGTGGGTAACAGTGGAGCGTATCTGCCGTCGATGGAGGAAACAGAAGTGTGACCGCCAACTAAACTGGCATTTGAGTTCCGACCACTTCCACCCCGTCGGAGCGCACACCCGAGGTGAGGTAGAAGTAGCCAGAACGTGCACAAGTGCAGTCAATTAGGCATGAAATCCAGCGATGTGTAGTGTTCTAACAATATACTAGTTATTATAACAACTATAAACAATTAATATTAACCACAAATGAGCCTTCCAGCATCAAGCCCTCCTTGTATCTCGACCTCCGTCTTGACAATCCGACAGCCTTGATATCTGACATAAAAGAAGGTTTTACATTTAGTGTCAGATTATCGGGTCAGGACTGTATTTGGGCGACAGGGCTGGGAGATCTGCAAAATCAGCCAAACTACTGACCAGACTCAGTGCAATGGCTGTTACAAATGGTTGTGTCACGCACTGGTTTGTTTTTATGTAACTATGACTACAGTGCATACATTTTATTTAATGTGTGGCAATCTGATGTTTGAGCATGTATAAAAATAGAAGCATAAATGAGAGTCTTACAGGTAAAGCATTGGGTTTGTCAGTGTCAGAGTAGCTGAGTCTGGAGCACCAGCCCAGCTCCTCAGTTCTATTCAAGAATGTATTAATGTTTTATAATACATGAATGTATTCATATGTATTAAAAAAAATAGGTTATGTATGGATATGAAAAAGAATGGGCCACAAGGAAATGACACATTTTACAACCAAAGCTGAGCAGAAGCCTCGCTGTCTGAAACCCACATGAACCTAAAGGATGGTTTTACTGTGACTGCCTCGACGCCACTGCTGACAACCCTTCACCCTCTGCATCATTTTAACACCCATAATCACAGCACAGAACATCCCCTCGGGTGCACAAATTTCTGTAGTATTGAAAGGAGACAGTGAGGAGGCTTGTAACTGAAGACCTGTGGTTACTCTGTTGTCTGTGACAGCAAGCCCAATCCTCAGGCCCAGCTGAGCAGCCAAGGGTCATCAAACCACTGCTTTCCTGCCCTTATTGCTAAAAGCCAGTTTCATGCTTTCTGAAATTCCACTTCCACATATTAAAATCCTGACAATGTTCATCAGCACCAGTTAAGGTCAGTTCTTGAGCCTCATCAGTTCATGTCGCTGATCAGAGACATCTCCTTGTCAGCGCTGGCACGGCTCCTAATTGTACAACTGTACTGCTCTTCTTCTGTTTCTTCCATCCATTCATTCGTTCCTTCACCCAGGACTGTCTGATGTGGTCTCAGTCTATTCTTGGGGATTTACAGAGCACACTGTGGCAATAATATGTGAAATAGGCCAGTGTTTAAATCTTGATCAGCAAGGAGAGGAGCCGGGGGAGGAAGCAAAACGGTGGAGGACGGAGGGCCAGTGCTCTCCAGAGAGGTGAGTAGGGAGGATGAAGCCAGCCAAAGATATCACTGAGCTCTGGGAAGAACTGGGAACGTTAGTTAGGGAGTATGTGGACGTCTTCTCATCATGCCACAATCACATGTCTTCACTCACAAAAGATGTGTATCAAATGTATTTTTATTACACTCCAATCTAATGAAAGTTTCAGATTAATTTTTTTTCCACGTTATCCTTCAGCTTTCCTTCATACTTAAATCGAAAGCTGCAGTTTTTCTCCCAGGATAGATTTTGGTAGCTGGTTGTTCCTCATTCCTCTCAGTCCATTTCTCATGTGACTGGCCCGGATCAGCGTGTTTCATGGTGACTTTTCAGCACAGTCTTTATTCTTCTGAAGTGGGAGTATCAGGCAATAAACAAGGACAGAGGGGAGCTGTCTCCTCAAGGACAGACAAATGGACTTCCACCACAACAACATGTACTCCCTTAAAAGGACACCTGTTACTACGGCTGCATAATTTTGTTTCTCGGCCCTCCATCGTCCTTCCTTTGCCAGGGTTTCTCATCGACCTGTGTGACGGCTCCTCCGTGGATGATGAGTGGTAAAAACACTGGGGGATGTCAGGGAAAGTTAGCTACAATCAGAAAAGGAATCAGAACTGGACTAGTAGGTTATTATGGTCTGTATTCAACATCTATGATAATTCTTTGGTGGTTTCAAGTGTACTGATCAGCTGGAGAAACTAAACGTATGTCTATTTATAAACGGCCATTCCTCCTGTAAGAATGCATCTCTGTCCGTCAGCAGAGAGACTTTACTCAACAGGTTTGAATGAAATCTGCTGAACAGCTTTGCAAAGCGCAAAGAGGAACATGTTAACATACGGCCAGTTATAAAGGGCTTCACATGTTTGCTCTGAAGTTTAGACAGATTCCAGCTATGTGTGAAAAAACTCAGAGGTGTGCAGATAATCACCACCGGGGCAAAAAGCTGAACCACACCGAACATCATCCGGCAAGGTGCTGCTTCGGCTAACTAATCACAAACAAATGCACAAGCCAGGTAGATGTCATATTTATTTTACTGCTAGTACTAATATTTACTTGTTACTTAAATGAAGTGATGAGTATCGTGCAGTAGGTTTCCTGTGGCTATGAAGGAAATAACCGAGTAACAAAAGGCAGTAAGACGTCA